TTTTTTTCCTTTCTAGACTTCTATAGAAATGTAAAAATATATTCTTCTTTTGTTCGTGAATATATATGTACTTGAACGAGTCATATATGTTAAACTTAATGAGTTCTTGTCGTAATCTTCTACAATGTCAGTTATATTTGTACTTTTCCAGAGATAAAATAGGACCGGAAATTGGATGAAATACAATAAGTTCCTCGTTGCGTAACAAATATGTCTAACTAAAACTGATGTATATTGTTTCGTAGCACTATCACTAAAAGTATATGATGCCGACTATCTGACAACTCATATTTTAAAAGTTAAATGAGTGAAATTATGTGTTCAAAATATCTTATACTTAACTATAGTCACGCTGTTCTAGAAGTGATATCGGTTTCTGGTCTATATATTTTATTTATCTATCCTTCTTATATCTCGTTTCTTTATACTTCATTTATGATTTATTATTCTTCTTGTCTCTTTCGTCCTTAGCTTGATTATACTCATTGTATATCTCCCTGTATAGCGAAAAATAGTAAATTTACGTAGAAAGAGATGAGAAAGAACGTAATAAGATATTTTCTGAGTAGTACAGCATAGTCCAAAGGTAACCTCACCGAAAAACATATTAAATATCTCCATTACGGCGTGACTAAACGAGCTGATTTTTTATTAATGATAGGAGTATGTTTAAAGTTTATATCGATAAAGACATGCTTAGAAAAACCCTTTCTTAAATATATTATTCTTTTTTTTCTACTTGTAAATGAATAAAGTTTTTAATGAGACTATTAATGACCTTCAGTAAAAATATCTATCTATGCTTGTCATTATGAATATAAATATGAAACATACTCCTATTACTAATAAAACAATCCGTTCGTTTAGTCAAGTCGTAATAGACACATTTTAATGTTTTCTTCAGTAGAGTCACTTTTGGCCTATCCTGTGTCGTGTTTTTATGTGTTTGATTTATTGTATAATATATGAAGGCTTCTTTATACTCACATATAAAATTAATATTCCCACTTCATCTTCAATTTATATATGCATCGTTCTATTACACGAGATACTTATTAGAATAACGCTCACACAACAGGATTCATATTCTTGTAACCATAAAATACTTTATTATCAAAGATAAGAATAAAACTAGTTAAATATTCTTTTTTTTTTTATTCTTCATACACTGATGCGTTAAAAATGCACTAGTA